TCACCTATAAAAGTAGGTGATATATCATTGAAAGATAGAACCAAAAAAATAACAACTTGAAGTATTGTCCTTTCTACAATTTTATACTATATTCATACTATTTTTGCAACTCGATGAGAGACTCATGTCATTTATCTCCCTATAGCCGAACCCATAGAATGAGAGCCACATGAGTTTTATCTTACAGTCGTGTAGTGCCAAAAGAACCCGCACGAATGGGAGGCAACACAACTTTAGGATAGCGTTTTCGGCGTGACTCTCAAGGCTCGCATTTCTAGCCATCTTCTTATTTTATATTATTATTGAATTATGCTTATATCATTCAATTGATTCTATTAATTGATAAATTTATCTACACAAAATCATCAATTTTCCCCAACAAACTAAAGTTGTATTAGTGATTTGCTTGCAGGTTAAATATGGTATGATCAACAAACTTAAAAGGCTTCTTTTTAATTTGATGTATGTGACTGAATTATATATTTGCTAAATTATTACACTTATTATTTGAGTAATAATGAATATTACATACTCTCCAAAGGTTTATGAATTACATTCGTGGGGATTAGCTTCTTTAATAATTGGGAATGACCAATGTTTAAAGAAAGAATTTTCCAATGATATTAACCATAAAGGTGACTGGGATGGATTCTAATCCATATTATTCAGGAAAAAAAAGATCTTGTGCTAATTTTATTTAATTATAATTAGAATTATTCCCTTATTTCCTTGTATGTACTTAGAACTTATTTTTCTTTTTCTTTAATGGGTTTATTTGATTGTCGCTAATTTCTATTGTAAATTGAAATATCTGAAGTTTATGCCCAGCAAATTAAATAGATGGTGAACATGTACTGAATGTTAAGACTTTCCTTAACCTTTCTTTTTTATAATACTGATTTGAAGAACTAAAACTTGTCTAGGAGAAAAAAGGATGGCCAAATCAATTCTGTGTAACGGGATGTGATTATTATTTAGATTGAAATACGACATATGATATGTAATATGTGAGGTCTAAAACAATTTTCAATTGGTAATGGATTGAAGGTCGAAGAGGCTACTAAATATGAGTCCTATTGTTGTCTTCGTGTGCATTGGAATGAAAGTTTAGAATAGAGGAAGAAGGATAATCCCATGGTACCAAATACATGGTTATGTTGCTGGCATTAATTCCATTGGAACAAGAGTTTAATTTCATAATTAATATTGAATTACCAGAAGTTTAATATTGAATTACCAAAAGTTTAATTTCATAATTAATCAGCATAATTTTATTTCTGGCCAAGAGTAACTCTTGTGATTAATAGTGATCTTACTCTACTGAAATTTGTAACTTATAAAAAGTTTCCCAACTTTAATGTTCTATTTTTTATTATTTAAAACTTCAGTTTCGAGTTTCAAAGTACATATTTAATACAAAATCTAAACATTAGAATGTAGGTTATGTATGGATTAATTTTCATTATTGTGGGGGTTGTTTTTTTAGATGCTATTGCTTTCATAGAGCATTAATAAAAAAAAAAAAAATTGGTATTTCTACATCGAATAAGGATTGTAGTGAAATTAGTTTGTGTTAGAAGTTTTAATAACGCTCTGGTAAATAATTGATCATGTTATAAATTTGTTAGTGATATTCTAAAATAACCTACGTGCATGTAGGTGGAAATGAAAATTTGTTCAATAAATTATGTTACAACATAATTGCTATCCATTTAAAATTTATTATAACCAATTGTTAACAAAAGTTACGAGAATAATGTTTCAAAGAGAAGTTTTATATTTTAAACATTATATAAATATTGTAACTTAAGTTTTAAATTTTCAAAGCTTAAAATTCATTTTAATTTTCAGTTTTTTATTTTAAATATCTTTTAATAATAATTAAATCCTCATGATTTATAATGTAACCTATATGGTTTAAATGTTTCCTTCCTCTAAGACATAGTGCAAATGTCTTAAATCTAGGTTGCAAAATGAGATGAGAATGTGAATTTAATTTGTGGTAGTGTTTTAATCTCATTCATAATTAATGGTACTCCTACTTCGGGTATTCTAAATATAATCAATTATTTTGTTATAATTTATTATTATGAAAATAATATTTTGCTAATGTGTTGAATAAGAATTTGTAGATCTATTGGTGGATGAAAACCATGAAAGTGTGAAAAACATGTGCATTAATCATCTCTACACAATATTGGATCCTATCAAAAGAGATAAATTGTAAAATCGTATACTAACTCCATTCAAGTTGGATATCTTTAGAATGTGGGGATATCTAAAAATTTCAAATAGATGCACCTTACATACTTTGTTGTCAAATTGACTCTTAAAATGTGTTAAAAAATCAAATTGTAGATTTATAGGTGAAATACAAGAGCTCAATGGATGCATATGCTCAAACAGGTTACTAGAAGTCAATTTCAAAATTTCTTATGCTTATCGTTGATAAGTATATTATATATATTATTTAGGCCATTAAAATTGAGTATTTGTTAAATAATTTGATGGAATATGACTTAATCCTATTTATATATTGTGTGTAGGTTACAATTAATGGAATATACGAAAATAAAAAAAATAAGCAGGAAAAACGACTCAATTACATCAAGGCAAAGTCTGGGGACTAGAATGCAATAATCCAAAACTTGAATGGGACCAAAGAATGATGAGTTGAGAACACCAAGAGTCAATTGGAGTTGAAGAAAAGTTAATGGGACAAGAAATTTTGGGAAGGAACCAAAACACACACTTCTGAAAGTTTAGGGACCAAATTGCAAATTGGCCCCTAAAATAGTTGAACTGTGCGTATGCATAGGCTTGCAGGTCGTGCGTACGCACAATTGAAAAATTTAACTTCCGAAACTAAATTGATTCTACTATGTATACGCACAAAAATGTACCATGCGTACGTATAGTTCATTTCTGACAAAAAAATTATGTTTCCTTATTTTGTTTTGGAAAGTCTTGGTTTACAATTCTTTACACGATATTTATACCAAAAGTTGACAAAAAACACAAAGAACCTAATTTTTATCATCTTGGAAGCCGACAAAGAGGAAAAGGAGAGCGAGATATACATTGAAGAAGAAGGTTTCATCACTTGGATTCGGAATTGAAGGCTTAAAGTGGAGGATTTCAGATTCTTTTCATACTTTAATGATTCGGGTGATGTCGTTCCTTTATTTTTCCTATTTTTCATATATTAATATGATAGGCTAGACATATTTGTTTTGGATGGATGACAAAACTGTTTGACTCATAGTTTTTAATGCAAGACCTTATGTTTTTATTTTAATTCTTGTGTTGTGGTTTCTTTAATATGCATATCTATATTGTTTTAATGTTTGCGCACCATTAGGACAATAAGTTGCTTATTCACAGTGTTGAAAAACTCACGGTATGTAGAACACTATTATTGGAACGCATGGACAATGAATGTTAGGAATAATATTTGTGACGTGTGCGATCATGTGTGATAATCCTATACATCAATGCGTGTTTGCCATATGAATTCGGACTAGGAATAAGATCATTTCGTGGTAATCATAGGTTTATTATATATTGGGAAAGAATAATAAATATCTACGGAATTATCGATCGTCACAATTGCATAAGTTGAAATAATTGTCATAGGTCGAGAATTAGAACTAAGAGTTGATCAGTGGCGTCGAAAATTCAATACATTCACTCATCTAAACTCTAAAACAAATTCTCATAAATTTTGCAAATTTTTAGTTATAGAACTTAATTAACTATTCAAACAAACGTCAACTTTTAGTTAATTTCACGAATTTAATTATATCGAATACATTGGAATTAGACATTATTCCCTGTGGGACGACAACTCTTTCATCACAATTATTACTTGTACAACGAACCCGTACGCTTGCGGGATTTTAACGAACAATCGTATTATAATTAAACGTGTTATTGATATTTTGGAAATTTTGATAAAACTTTGCAGGTGTTCAGATTACAAGCAGAGAATAAAAGCTTGTAAATTGACGTTACCAGATTATTTTTCAAGAGGGATATGAAATAAATTATAGTCAGAAATAGACATAATAAATCATCGAGTGGGATGGATTTAAACCCATAAGGGAGTTACCCAACCTTTGTGATTGGATATCCCATGAAGAAGGTTTAATGTGGTAGAAAGGGTTTAACCCTGAATGGTTACCGAGATGAGAATTCTCGCAGGGTGTTTTAATATAAAATTAAAACACCATAATTCATATGATAACTTATATTTTAATAGTTTAATTGTGGGGGCTGATATTTATCTATAAAAGAAGGTGATATTTCATTGAAAAATAGAACCAAAAAAATAATAACTTGAAGTATTATCCTCTCTACAATTTTATATTATATTCATATTATTTTGACAGCACGGCAAGGGACTCGTTCACCTATCTCTCTATAGTTGTGCCCATAGAAAAAGAACCACATGAGTTTTATCTTGAAGCTGTAGTGTCGAAAGAAACCGCACAAATGGGAGACAACACAACTTTAGGATAACGTCTTTAACGTAACTCCCAAAACTTGCATTAATAACCCTCTTCATATTTTATATTATTGTTGAGTTATGTTTATGTCATTCAATTGATTATATTAATTGATAAATTTTACACAAAAATCACTAAGTTTTCGCAACAATACTTGATGAGATTACCCATATATAACAAATTCATAAGTTAGACTTTTTAAAGAATTAAATCAATCCCGTAAGCGAGAGAGCATGTTCAAAACTCACATTTCGAATAGCAAATAACTATATTCTTTAACTACCCCAGAGAGAGAGAGAGAGAGAGAGAGAGATGCGATTAAGCAACAATCAAATTTGTAACATGCTTGACATTCAATGTTGCTGATATTGATAGAATCAACCTTCGAGCAATCACTATCGATACAATTATATTGGGTAAAAATCATTACTAAAACCGGCTTGTAAAGTGTCTATGCAAAAATGGTTATAAACCCACGAGCAAAGCTTCGTGTTTGCAATATGAACTGCAATTATAGTTACAACTGCGGGAGAAGAGAAAACGCTCGCTTATATGATAAAAAACCAAAGGATGAAACTTATTGATTTATTTTGTCGAAAGCTACACTGATTGAATTTTCTTACTAATACAAGAAACTAGTTCCTACAAGCAGAAAAAGCACTTATTGAAAGAATTCATCTTGACATATTTACAGAAGAAACCGACTCTGGGACATGTTCTGAGAGCTTTCTGAGAATGATTTTCCGATATTGAGTCTCTCATGGCTTGTGCTTTAATTTGAGCAGCTTTTAGCTTGTTCAAGATTTTGTCTGTAGATGCTGATCTCTTCATTTCAAGTTTCATCTGTATAGAGAATTGTTAGAAGAAGGTGTTAGCACAAGTAGCTAGGGGGCTTGCTTTAGAACCCTCGATTCAAAATGATGAATTCCCTGCTGACTCTGTCATATGCTTTAGAACATTAGTTTTTCACATCTATACTGGCCTTCTACGCAATTTTACATCTAAATTCGTTCGCAATATTTGGTCGATGATGGATGTGTGCAAGTGTGTGAGTTGAAAGAGATCAAGAAATGTAACTCTAAATCCCTGGGCGGCTTGGTAGGCTGTAGTGCGCAGTACAATGTGCAAGATTTTAACTTAGTTTTCTTCTTTAATATTATCCAATACTCTCCACTCTTTCGATACTGAATATGTAAATATGAAAAAACTCTCTTGATTAAATATCAAACCTCCAACTCTCGAATTGCAGTCTCAGCTTTTGCCTTCTGCAAGTTCTCCCAAGCAGTGATCTTGGCTTCCTCTCTTTGCAGCCTGCACAAACACAGAAGATAAACATATTCATGACATATCCTGTACCCACAGTTTAAGTCTTGTTGCCACCCATTTACAAAAATTGTGCGCTTGGCAGGCCTTAAATCAATTTTGCAACACATGAGAAACATTTAGAGCTATTGAAGGGTACAGAAAAATGATCAACAAGTCTATTTCCTATTATACATAGAAACAATGGATGTACCTTGATGCCTCTGAAGCTAATCGAGGTGAACATAAACTTTTAATACTTGGCAAGCCTTTTTTCATCTTTCGTTTCATGGGCTGCGTGGCTATAGTCGTGGCTTCGTCTACCTGGACGTCCCTAATCCCATCTCGAGCAGAATGATTGATGCAAGGCTCAGGGTCGGAGGAAGGGAACACAGAGAATGACAAGCTTCCTTTGGGAGACGAATTTGTGCTGCCTACGGGACTCATTTGAGTTGCCATATCCCTACGTGAAACAACCCGGGAAACATTTTCTTCTTCCTCCTTGGTGCCGTCAAGTTTATCATCTGTCATTTCAATTCAAAAGCAAACACCTATTAAGCATAAACTGTATTGTCATAGGATTAATGCTCCTGGAAAAAAAATTCGAGTCTGGAGAAACTAGAAGCCTCAATATCATACAAATTAAGAGTTACAAAAGACTAGCTTAACAGTAACACGGATTGATTTAATAATATCCTCCAAATATGCCTTCAGAATCGACATACTCCAAACTATATTGATCAATTCTACTACTTTTACAGAGACACAACCAATACTGGCAGGAATTTATCACAGAGTTCCTTTTTTATAAATCAACTCTACCTTCTAAGCAAGTTTGGTTAACCTGCACAAGTAAATAATCAGAAGGGATGACAATTTTTTAGCCCTCTAGTTAGTCATGAATGCTTGAAAATCCAATTCCAGAGGCCCGAAAGAGAACAAAATTTTGTATACCTTGTGAACTAGACAATGAAGAATCACTAAGCTTGTCTAAAAAGCCAGGCATACTAGTGGACCGAGCCATACTATTCGAAGGATAAACATAGTTCGACTTTAGAGCAATGTCATCGCCATAGCCAACGGATAAACCTTTAGGCATCAAAACTCCGGTCATAAGTGGTGAACCAGACACAAAATTCCTCACACCCCCACCTTTATGAACAGGTACCTTAGGCGAATAATCAGATACGTTCACCGGTCCAGTAGCGCCTAAGGGGCCACTGTGAAACTCAGGCTGCATGATCGAGAGTGGACTTGTAATCCATCTCTCAGCATCATCCCATTTCGATGGCAAAGCCCTTCCAATACTCACCGGAATCAAGGCAGAGGCACTAATTTGCCTATGGATTCTATTTGTGGGCAATGGCACTCTTTCTGAACTCCAACCCTTGGGGATTCCCCCCTCAGTTTCACCATAATATGGACTTCCCATACTAGTAAAAGGACCTGAATTTCTCAACCGAGAATAATTCTTCTTCATCGCTCTCTCAAATGAAGCCAAATTTAGGCCACATTGCTTACTTTATTCTCCAAATTGGATTCAGTTGAGTATTAAAATCAAATTCTTGAAAGGAAGAAACCCAAACAACTCTAAATGGCCAACAGTAGGACTATATTTATAGAGTTATACTGAAATATTTCACTCTCAGTAAACAAAAAATCCTTGCTTAAGTGGTAAATTTCACCGTTCTAGAGTCTGAGAAAACTTTTTGGGTCTGAAGTCTGGACCACGGGGAGGCCCGTGAATTTCAGCTACTGCCAAATGATGATCTCAACCATCAGATACAATTTCAGATAGTAAATAATTAAACCCAATTTTCCCAATTTCATGTTAAGTTCCATTTCTTTGTCAATAAGGACAGATCATTGTCCCCTTCCCCAAAATAATCCCATTTTACCGTTTGCTCTCGGACAAACAGAATCACGTGGGACGAAGAAACGGGCAGAAGGCAATAAAAGATGCCTGTTTCTAGTGAACTATCCTTTCATTAAGTCAGACCCCATCTATGGTGTCCCTGTGAGATAGTGAGAGTTTGGATTCTGTAGAAATTTTACAACTCGAGGACGTTTAATCCAGTCATTTTAGCATGGTGATTAAAATTTAACGTTGGAACACTTGCGGACCGAACATTTTTTTTCATGGGTTGTACTTAGGCGTTGACACATCAGGTTACACGTCTCTCACAGCAGGGGATCATCGAATTTTTCTTTTATTTGGCACGGGCTCCCTTCTTGTAAGGGGCGTGTCAACGCCCGGGTACAAACAGCAAAATTCTTTTCATTATCATCCTGTTTTTTGAATAGGTTGCCGGCGTAGAAGAGAGAGACCAGATAGAAAATGAGAGAGAGAGAAGGAAGAGAGGTAGAGAGAAGAGGGAGAAGAAAAAATTAAAATGATTTAGGGTTAGGGTTTGTATATATTGATAACTGATTTATGAATAAATGAATCTTCATCCCTGAATTTTGAATTTTCATCTTTAAACCCCTAGATTTATCTAATTTCCACTTCTCCAAAACCTTAGTTCGAAACCCAGATCCTCACATGTTCTAGCCCAAAGCCCTAATTCTTGAAAAACCTAAGGAAATTTTAGAATTTACACCATTTTCAAGAAAAAATCCTTCCAAGAATTTGAATTTTGAAAGTGGAGACACTAGCAACAGATGGCCAAGAGATGAAGTGTTGGCTTTGATAAATTCGAGGTGACAACAACAAAATTAAGAAAAGGACAAAGGGTCCAATATGGGAGAGAATTTCACAGGGGATGCATGAATTGGCGTACAAGAGGAGTCACAAAAGATGCAAAGAGAAATGGGACTCATTTGTGATTTTTTGAAAAATTTGAAACTATTTTGCAATTAATTCTTTAATTTTCTTTTATTTCCTTATTATTTTATTTAAACAGAAGGGTATATTAATTATTTCACAGACTTTTATGGAAAAAGTGGATGAAAATTGATGAAGAGGATGTTTTCCGCAATGAGACGTGAAAATGGAGGTGAAAATGCAAAAAATTAATACGTATGGACATTTTGCATACTAAAGGTCAAACGTAAGAATATTTTGTACTAATAAGGCTTTTTTGAGTTCATATTTTACACTGCATTTACATTATGTAATAGTAACACTTCACATATCATTTTTTTGAATTCTCTACAAGTTCAATTATTATCTGATTTTCATCTAATTAATTTCTTTTTTTCATGGGTTTTCTATAACGTGATTTATACCGCAAGTGTACGGTATCAAATTTTGTAATATAATAATGGAGTTAGGATGTCGAACCCATGAGGATTGATATTTAATTTCCACCAAGTATTATAATTGTGTAGCCTTTATTTTATCTAGATGAATGAATTTTGGAATCAATGATTTTAAAAAAATTAATATGATAAATGTGGTGACAGTTCAAGTAAGGCAAATTGTAAGAGATTTATCAATGTGAAAAATCCTAGGAAATGATATCACAGTACTATCAACAATGTTTTTCAACTTTTATAGTTACTTTTATCAAATTTTCCCTAAGTTTATAGGCAAGAATCCTAGAGTAATTCGATTCCCTCTCTCAAGAGCCAAATAGAACCTATCTCTATATCTTTAATCCAATACCTCTATTCCGAATTAAAAGTATAGAAATTATCAAGTGCATAATTCATAAATGGTATAAAACATAAAAGATTTCATACTTTCCCTCGAAACTTACGAAATGTAGGTCTTGTTATTATTAGATCACGCCTAAATCTCCTTCTCTCGAGTACCAAAATTTAAAGTATCAAATCATTCAACTATTGATGAGGTAATTAAAAGCAATATATCCAAACAAACAAAAAACACACACACACACACAGAGAGAGAGACAATTAAACTAACGAAAAAATCAAAAGAAATAGCTATATTAGAATCCAAACATGTCTTAAATTAGGTTACATCAAATCTTAGATTTACAATTTAGATCATGATTAAGAGAAATAACATAATCCAATCTAAATGAAAGAACATGAAGAAGAAAAGAATAAGAAAAAACTGATTTGCAGCTTGAATTCTCCTCCTAATTGTTGTCATTCTTGCTCTAAATCAATCTTTCTTCTTTTGCCTCTTGAGCCATCTTCCTCTCCCAAAGTAGGTCTTCCAGTTTGTATTTATAATCCCTTAAAGTTTCAAGACCAGTTGGAGTTGGATTGGATCGAAAAATTGCTATAAAAAAAATCCCTTTTTCTCTTCTGGGTGGTGGCACTGGAGAGTCCATGTTCGTTGCCGCAGCCCCGCGATGGACTCTACTGCTGGCATCGCAGTGCCAACAATTTTGTTGGTTGTTTTTATAGATTGGGTTTCGCGGCACCCAAGAGCTGACGCCGCAGCGTCCAACTCTCTACTAAATTCCAGGTTATTTCCTAAGTGCCATGGCGCCCATATGCGGTGCCATGGCACCCATATGTTTCGTTCACTTTGTTTGCATCATGTTCTAGTCTCTTTTTTCACTTTATTTTTCTCTTCTTTCATCTCCACTCCATGCCCATTTCCATGATCAATAATTTAGCTCCATTCCAAGCTCTAAAATATATCATTTCCTCCAAGTCACCTAAGCAACAAAACAACATGAACTAACACATCAAAACACTCAAAAGTGCTCAAGAATAAACTAAAAACTATGTTTTAGAGGTGCATGTTCAATGAGTGAATCACGCTCATTAAACACCCTCAAACTTAATTCTTGCTTGTCCTCGAGCAAACACGGAACAACACACCAATATTGTTAACTAAAACGTAAATAAAAAAACACTACCAAAAGACTTATTTACTAAAACGTAAATAAAAAAAATCCTCAAATTTAATTTATCTTCTTTCATCTCTACTCCATGCCCACTTCCATGATCAATAATTTAGCTCCATTCCAAGCTCCAAAATATATCAGTTTCTCCAAGTCACCTAAGCTACAAAATAATATGAACAAACGCATCAAAACACTCAAAAGTTCTTAAGAACAAACTAGAAACTATGTTTTAGAGGTGCATGTTCAATGAGTAAATATTATACTCATCAAACAGCCTCAAACTTAATTCTGTGCTTGTCGTCGAGCAAACACAGAACAACACACCAATATAGTTAACTAAAACGTAAATGAATAACACTTCCAAAAAACTCAATTACATAATTTAGCTAGATAGCTTGTTTTTATGACTCAACATGAAGATATGATATCGAATTCATAAACTATTTCAAAGTCATAGTGCAAAAATCAAATTCTTACCTTTCCAATGCAAAACGTGTGCGTATGTGTGTGTGTGTGTGTGTGAAGAATCAAATACAGTATTGAACAATCATAAGTTGATTCTATTTTCGACCTTACAAGCCAATTACTTCATTTCTTTGCTCGAGGGATTCACACACCTCCAAACTATCTTTTCATTCTTTTTCCAATGGTGCATTTCAAAGTTATTCCTTACCCAATTTTGTCAAGTTTTACTAATTATAATTCAACATGTCAACAAATGAGGATTCTCCTTAGTTTTGACTACTTCTATCTCTAAGGATCAACTAAGTTAGTAACTCGTATAAAGGGCCTAATCTTCTAAAACAAGTATTTGGAGCTTAATCAAGGCATGTGGATCGTCTTCTGTTTCATGTACCTGCTTTTTCAGATATATATACACACACACACATACATACACTGATCAACCTTATGTGCAGATCTCTCTTTGTTAAACTTTATAAATGACCCCTGTAATGATATTTAGGCCGATGACTCTCAAGTCAAATGACTTTAGGGCATCAAATTTTAAACTATTGTAGACTTTAAAGGCTATGAAAATACATTTCAACATAGTTTTATTATATTTATCCTTATTGGAATCTTTTAGGATAGCTTTACAACAAGACAGTGTTGTCCCTTTTATGCAGTGATTAGTGCAATACCTCTTATTAAATAAATATTCTCGAAAATTAATTTCTAACTGAAGGTTTTCACCCAATTTTCATCTTATGGGTCTTAGATAATCTACACAAAATTTATTATACATGGAACCTACACCTACATCCATGTCTCCCTACAATAGTTCGACCATCCAAATGATCCTAAACTCGGCTAAGGGATGCGAATTTTAGTTTAGTGGTTGTTTGGATTCAACTTCTATGGTCACTAATTCAATGTATATCATTTAAGAATCACTTATTCTTGTCCAACATTATACTCAATTCATTTATGTCACAATTTTCTACAAGGGTAATTAAGACTTTAAATCAAGCACACAACTTATTCATAATTGACAACAAACTCATATTTCCAAATATATGCATCATTGCCAACAATATTATCCAACCCACATAAACATACGGATTTATTTATTTATTTTACCTACAACCTCCAATGTGGTTCTTCCCCATTGCCACTTTATGCTTCATGCTCCCATACTTGAGAATGTACCTATTAAAACAAAGAAAGTTACTAACATAACTAAAATATGGATAATTCGAAAACTAAGGGATAAAACATGGGTTATTTCCCAAGAAAGCAATTCTTTAATGTCATTAGCTAGATGTTGATGTGGACTTATGTTGATTCTCCTATAACAATTTTTTCCACATCTTGATCTTCCTCTCCATAATAGGGTTTAGGCGTTGTCCATTTGCCAAGAAAGCGGATCTATCTTTTCTCACCAACTGCATCGAGCCATAGGATACACTTTAAAACCATGAATAGTCTTGACCACCACGATTTAAGCTTACATGGAAAAAGCTTCGAGTGAAAGAGAAGAACTCGTTCTCCTAGCTTGAATTTGTGTCTTAGGATCCTCTTGTCGCGTCACATCTTTGTCTGCTTCTTATGTATTTTTATGCTTCGTTCTAAAATTCATCTAGTTTGTCGAGATGAAACAAATGTTGTGGCCCACTAATTTCATATCCATGTTCAGTTACTTCTTCACAACCCAATAAGCTCGATACTCCAATTCAATCGACAGGTGACATGCTTTCTCAAATTCTAGCCGATAAGGTGACAGGCTTTTCCACATAATTTTTAATACAAATACGTGCACATTTTGGCCTTTAATCGTGCACATGTGATCAAAAAAATGGATTGACTGCATTATCATGAGCATACCCTATATGTGCTACGTTTTGTAAACGCCTCAAGCACATGCAGGTATATACAAAACATATACGTGTATTTTAGAATACTGAATAATACATGTCAATTAATAATCACTGTAGTACCGAGTTCATGCTTCGAGAATACTAGTATTTTTTCTTGTTTCAATTAATACTATGGTAGAGTAAGTACCTTGACGGCAGGTTAATGCTAAATCAATGGTTAGTTATGCAAATTAGAAAATAATTGTACAAAAACAAAATTTTAAGCATATGTTTGACGACGTTATTTTCAAACTCTTTTTTCTATATACTTATTTTTAACCACAAACTCACATAGTAAAATATTCCTCACGTAAGTTCAAAAAATTTTCTTACTTTTTAATCACAAAATTGTCAAAAATTTGCTATTTAAAACTTTATTTTTCCAAAACAATGGTGGTCAATCAGTGGCTATTTTGCTCGATTTTTTTGTTGGTAAATCATTAAAAAGAATATCATTTACCATCACGCTTAATTAATATTTATTTTTAACATAATTTTTATTTTTTAATATAACTTTAATTTAAAAATAAAATAAATAGTTCTCTAAATGAGAACATGTTTCTTGTCGTGATATTGATAAAAATCAAATAAATTAAAATTAGTGACAACTCTGATGAATTCTTTCATAAACGACTGTGGGACGAAGAAACTCTGAAGCAAAACCGAGGTTCCGGCGATTCTGACACTGATATTAGCTGCCGGGAAAAAAATGGACGTCATTGAATCCCCTCTATCCACCTCTCCTTCGCCTTCCAATTCTTTCAGGCATTTTCTTCTCTTTCTCCCTCTTATTATTATTCGATTCGTATCATTCAATTTTTTCTCTATTGAAATATACAAACGTTTGAAACGGCTTAATTTTCCAATATATATTTGAATTTTGAAGCCCGCAGCGCCACTTCTACCTCGCCGTTGACAGACTCCAGTTCAAGATGGTATTTTGATTTCTTCAAATAATTATTTGTAATTTCAGTCTTGTAAATGTTATTTATTATAATTTAACTATTAATATTTTCAAAATTGGAAAAAAAAAATAAACAGGAAACCCTAGTGGATCTTTTGGGCATGGCGGGCCGCCGCCCGTGCCTCCCGATGGTGGTGTGCTGCAGCACGCGCGATGAGCTTGACGCTGTCTGCTCCGCCGTGTCTAATCTTTCGTCCAGCATTTATGTTTCCTCCTTGGTATGTAGTCTATGTTTCCTTGACAAAATTGTTATAGCATTAATGAAAAAACATTAATTCAATTTCAAGTTTTATGAAAGTTACTGAACGTTAATTCAGATTCTAATCACTTGTTAATCTTTTGTAGTATCTGGGTTAAAGCCTGCGGTTAAGTTAATTCTTTGTTGAATTACACAATTTAGTTCTTAGTTGAAGTCCACAATGAAGAGCAATTTCTAAACAAAGTTTCTGAGTATTTTTGTCATAAGGTTCCGTAAGCTTCTGTAAAGTTCCTTAATATTTTTATTGAACAATAAAAGAGATAAGGAAAATTCTTTTCTGTTTTGGACAGATTTCAGGGGGCTATTGGAGAGTTTTGGTCTCAGAAATGTGTCCAAAATGGAAAAAGCTAGCATTTTAGAAGTTTTTGCCTAGCCCTCAGTTTTTCCCGTGATTTTATTGCTGATTTTGTAGCTTTGATGTTGCAGTACAGTGACCTATCGGAAGCAGAACGAGTGCGGATTTTGGATAATTTTCGGCAGGCAACTGGGAGGTGGAATCGAATGGGAAGAGATGAGGTTAATGGGGAAACAGAAAAGGAAGAAGAGCAGAAATCACATTTGGTTGTTGTCACAGATGCGTGCCTTCCCCTTGTTGGCTCAGGGGAGTCGCCCATTAGTGCACGTGTTTTGGTCAACTATGAACTGCCCACAAAGAAGGTACAGCCTATATTGATGAACTAAGTAGAGAAAGTAATTCAATTTGTTTGGGCCTTGTTCCTTCCATGATTTTCACCTTGGCCTTTGTGGTAAGCTTCTAGATGAGTTGGTTCAAGTCTAGTTGCCTCCTATTTATGAAAATTGTGCACCTATCTTTCTTGCTTTTGAGCCCATGAATCTGACATGCATGTGAGAGGGCCTGTATTGTCCCCTCTCCAACAGATTAAGTTTTTAGATGAGAGTTGAACTAGTTTTCCTTCTGCAAATGGTGTTACATCTCGACTGTTGATTTGTCCAGTTAAACAGCTTTGAAATGAAGGTAAATTCCTTGTAGGCTAATCAATCCATTTTTAGGCTCAATTGCTGGTTCGGATTTCCTGTTTTAGTTTTTAGACCTTAATTCATTCTAGGTTTTGAATTGTTGCTTTCAATCTTGTTCAAGTTGGTATTCAAAGGTTTCTGAAAATCTAATGATTTGAAATCTTGGTCTCTAAAGGAAGTCACCCTTTTAGTATGCCCCCTCAGTTGCCTGTTGGCAAGTAATGTTATCAAAAAGAAAGAAGCAGAAGCTAAACAAGGTTGGCGCATTCTGATTTGTTTTAATTATTTCCTTCACAAAATCTGTAAGGTTTGGACTATATCTCATCCATTTTCATTCTACCTGCCACTGAGAAATTTTTCTTACATTGTGATTTAGTCCATAAGGCGGTGGCCAACATTGGAATCAAAACGCTATCTCCTTGAATTTGATTATTTCAGGGATCCCAAACACAAGGAATAGCCTTAAGAGAATCTAACTATTGTTTTCCTCTAGCAAAATGATTGCATTTGCTCGAGCATGGTGAATTTCGTGAGCATACCATTTGACTTTGAGTCTCAAGACCTACATTGCGTAGAAGTGGGTTCATAATAGTATCTTGGTTGAAGGTGAAAAAAGAGAGTACATTGTTAGTTTTCGCATCAAAAGCTCATATTATAGTTCATTTTCTATCAACATTTGATAATTGATATCGACAAGGATAATGTCTGGAAACTGCTTAAGATATTTTGTTTGGACTATAATTTATCAATAATGTTCACATTCATGTGAATTTCTTCAAAGATTGTATTCATTTTCTTGCAGTTCCAATTTGAAAATGTAGTTGCATGATTAGTTATAAGTATTCTTTGACTCCATTGGTGTGTAATACCACAAAATAACTTGTTTCACACAGGAGATGTATACGAGGCGGATGACAACTTGTTTGGCAGCAGGTTTGTCATCAATACAATAAACATGATTAGGGAAGAGAGTAGCAAATACAAAAGAATAGAGGGAAAAGAAAGGAAAAAGAAGCGTTACCCTAAGGGTCCATTTGATAGACCATTATTTTTCATGGAAAAATGGAATTCAAATTCCAACTTCCACTTTTTGACTGTTTAATAGTATATTTTTTCCCGTTGGTTTTCTTGAAAAGTAGACATTTTCGTGGTTTTCAAGCAAAACAAATTCCCAAATTTGGCTGTTTGATAGCATATTTTTTTCAGGTAATTGATTTTCTTGAAAAGTGAACATTTTCTTGGTTTTCTAGGCTGATAAACTGATTTATTTTATTTATTTATTTTTTTTTTGGGCAATGGAAACAAATTCTATCCCTAATTGTAACAAAATATTTTCCTTTAATTTACATTTTTCATGTAAAATAAAGTCAAACGAACACCAAAAGAGAGATGATTTTCTTGCCTTTTTTTTGGCTCAATGGAAACAAATTCTATCATCAATAACAATAAATTTTATCCCTTTAATTGACAATTTTCATATAAAACAAAATCAAACAAACACAAAAAAAAAGTACTCATTTTAACATTTTTCTACGTGGAAAATTGTAACAATCAAACACAATAATTGACAATTCTCAATAAAACAATTTTTAGGCAATTCAATTTTTTAGAATTCATTTTCTTTTTACCCAAATTTCATCTTTGCAATCAAACGGACCTTAAGTTTCTTTCTCCTTTTGTAATCCCTAGCAAGTGAAATTTACTTTTTCCTTTTCGCTTTTCAACTTCCTCGTGTTTACAACTATTTCTGATGCTTGAGTATTCTACATATATGTAGATGGGATAGTGATCAACATGGTTGTTGGAGGAGAAGTAGCAACTCTTAAAAATCTTGAAGAAAGCAGTGGCCTGGTCATAGCTGAAATGCCTATACATGTAAGTTTGTATCTACATATTTTCTTCTCGTCTAAAGCACCCACAATTTAAATCAATGGGCGAGCCTTGAACCAAGATTTCACAGTTTCTCAGAATTCATGAAATAAATTATTGTAGTCTTTTTCGTCCTTCCTCCTTTCTGAAATTATATTTCGTTCGAATACAATTATAATTTCATTATAATTTGTAATCAAAGTTAAACATCAATTTTAACTACATATACAAAGGGGCGGAGCCACCTTAAGTCCAATGTAGGCACATGCCTGCACTGAGCTTTGGGCCGCCCCTGGGGAGTAGGAAGATCCAACCGTCCATGAGTAGCAAAACAGGACAAAACATGAGTGGTTGGTGGCTGAAGGACAAAAGGAAACCAGACTGAAGGGCTTGGAGCCCATTGCATATGTTCGTAGGACTTTGCACTAGATGTAGTGTAGTACAAGATGCATAAATGTTCCTGACATGGGAGGTCCCATCTGATTTGGATTCTGGATCTCCTACATCTCTGAGTGGCATTTCTTCTATTAGGTTTTTTTTTTCTCAACTGGCCAAATATTTTATTTTACATTTTGAAAATAAAGCTGGTCATTAATTATCATGTTCTTATGGATCTAAATTAATATTGCTATAGTCGCTTTAAGTTGATAGGCTCGGTACAAAATGCTCAGGAATTACAATACCTGTATGCAATTATTGCCAGCTAGTTTTGTCATAACATGCTTGTCCCTCTTTACATTATTGTGTCAAGTTGGCACGGAGCTAAATAATTTCATCAAAAATTTTAGACTATTAAAATTGAATAAAGTTTGTGTTATGAATTAATAGAGAATGTTATTCATCAACAATGGTGATGAATATGCAAGGAACAAATGTAACTCAAAAACCAAGTTATTTTTGGTATTTTTACCATCATTAAATCCATGGTCGAACTTTACTTGAAATTGAAATCTCATTTTGTTTATTGTTTTATTAAACTTTGAGTTACAAATTAGTTAAGAAAAATCGAATGCATATTGCATACGATAATGCAGGGATACAAATTTAAAGTTCATCTTAGATTCTGAAAACTCAAAGTCCAGCCCCCGCCTTGGATAATATTCCTGGCTCCGTCCTCGTATACACATCTCCTACCCACTTATTATCCATACATTTCGCAAGACTCACTACTCCTTTTCATTATAATCCTAATATAATTTATCCAAAAAAAGCACTAACTCAAAGTACTTGTGGTGAGCAGATTTTTGAGATGCTATGAGATGTCGCGCCTCTTGGTGTGTCCCAAGTGAGTAAGTCTTCTTACTTTATCATTTCCCAATGCATCATGTATTATAAAATGCTTGTGTTGCAGTGAGACGAGTTGAATCCTTCTCTATTCAAATAAGCAATTTTAGCGTTATATACGTGCTTGGCTTGATTATGATCTTTTAAAATCCATCTTAAAGAACAATATAAAATCGATGGATGGTTTTTTCTAACATCACATGGTAGTTTGGCATTTAGCGACGAATTTTTGACAAATGAATCCATCAACCGGTGGCTTTTTTTTTTTTTGGGCTTGTGATCAATATTTCAGTTTATTGAGTTTCTGCATTCTATATGACATTTTCTGCCGTCTTTGTATTTTCATGAAATAATCCTCACTTGTACTCTTTTGGTTATCATTAACAGGTTTGAACCTGAGGTACCGTCTTGGACGGGAAAACATAATCACATTCAGGCAAACTAGTCAATTGATATGTGCATCATGTCCATGTTCCGAACATGTCATTGTGATTTTGCAATTTTATTATACAAGCCTACGCAGGTGTTAGTAATTTGACGGATTTGCCCTCCAACTTTTGAGTAACTTAAAATTCGCATGTAATTTTAACTTTTAAATTGATAGTCTATGGCGGGTGGTTCATTTGGTATCAAAAGTGTGTTGGGGAGGCCAGAAAATACTGATTGGATTGAAGGTTGGCAACTCAAATCTACACTAATAATTGAAAGACAAAAAGCCTAGACCTAAAAAAAAAAAAAAATGAGGAAGACACGAAGCAAGAAAGTTACACTTAAGCAACTTTTTTTATTTCAAACACATTTAAGTAAAATGAGCTAAGCAAAAAAGTTATATTTAAGTGCATGTTTGATTTTGATTTTTACTTCAAAAAAATAATTTTTTGAATGTTACTTCTCTAATTCAACTATCATTTTTTACTTCTTTTCTCACAGTAGAAACTTATTTTTCTCTTTAATGGTAAAAAAATCAATGTTCATAATCACTATCAATTAAGCCCTAAACTTTTTATTTTAAACACATTTCAGTAAAATAAGCTATTTTTCTTTGAACTTTTTGAGTAAAACTAGCCAAAGTTGAACGTGTATAGCACATTATTCTAAAAAAAACTTTATAAGTGATGCAAAAGTAAAATTAGTACCAATTTGTTTGAGAATTTGATAAGTCTCGAACGAATTAAAAAAAATAAAATTTAGCATAAAAATTTAAGAGATGAAAATTGTACTCAAATTGTATTTTCAAAACTCAATTTTTATGATTCAAATTTTTTGTAATGATGAAATACTATAAATGAGAAATCATTTTACAATTAAACTACTTTGTCAGAATTTTTTAGACATAATAGTTGATATTCTCTCATAGCGCGTGGGCACCTCTTGAATAAAAAAATCCAAAAAAAAAGTGGATCCCCCATACTATGTGAGTTTTAGTTATCTATTATGTCAAAAAAATTCTGTCACCATAGCATTGATGATCTTTTTATATTACATTTGATTCATAAAAATTAATTGTTAATACACAAATTTAAATACTCATTAAAATTTTTAAATAGATGAATATGAATAAATTTATCTATAATAATTCTAGATTCATTTAATTCAAGATTTATCGAGTGAAAATTCATTGAATCTAAGTTAATGTGAATGTTAATTAACTGAAAATTAATAACACAAATTTCAAACATGACAATAGTTATATAGTATTTATTACATATCGAAAAACGAAAAATAAAATATTATTAAAATAATTAAATTGTAAGGATGTTAAAATCGTTCAAAAAATTATTCTCCCTTGATGTGATATTTTAATAAATTATAGATAAGCTATTTCAAAAATAACTCTTATCTTTCAAAATAAGATCATATTTTTTAACTTTTTAGGCTCAGCCAACATGCTTAGGATCAGTTCTTCAAGCATCATGAAATACCAGGCAAGAGTCCAACTTTGGACAATCAAAAAACTCAGTCACAAAAATCAGTCATCTTCACATTATATAAGTCACGAAAATTCTTCCAAAATCAAGAAAAGTGCCATGGGATACACTGTCAATCGTTTTTCCTGGGCATGATTTCTATTATAAAATACTAATAACAGAAATTAACTAGCTATATTGCCGTGAAGAAAACTACCACGGAGCGTTTACCTCTTCTTGGAACATGAGTTCATAGCTCTCCGCCTTTGATTTCAAACTCTCGATTTCAGCATCAAATTTCGCAGATGCTTCTTTCAATTCCACGAGCTTCACTTCAAGATCTCTAATCCCTTCTTCAGTTCGAGCTCGTTTAGTTTTAGCCTCCCAGTACTTTTTTGCATCTACAGCACCTTCAGAATCGAATGCCAACTTTAGCACACGACATAGACGTGCCCCTAAAAATCCTACGTTCAGCCCCAAAAGTTCGAAAGACCTAAGCGACTTTTCCCATACTTCAAAATCCTCCCGAGGAGTCGTGAGTTTGCAAGATCTTATAGCATCGGCAGTGTTGACAGCTTCGAAAATCATACCGGCGGCTAACTTACAGTGCAGGCCCGGGAGAAGTCCTTCATGAAGAAAAGCATTCTTGCTCCGGCACAACTCGTAGTACTTCTGCCGTACATGTTCGGGAATTTCCGAGTCGATGCATACCCCATTCACCACAATGTGGAACTCTTCGAAGCTTTTAATGTCTTTAAAATGAATGGAGGATCCAGAACACTTTGAACCCTCGAAAACTTCAGAAGCAACCTCGTCACTGTCATTTCCTGACTGTTCCTCGAGCGGCCCAAGTTGCAGCCCCAATTGGCCTGCCTTTTGTTTCTTCTTCTGCACAACTGTCAAAGGCAGAGACTTTGGACGTCTCTTCTTGATTTTCACATCCGCAGTTCCCTCAGCTTTATTGTTCCATATTGTTTCAAAATTAGGAAAAATGACAGAAAAGAAGCAGATAATAGACCAAATTGATACCAAAAGCCAACAGAAATGGAAAGAGGAACATTCTTCCTTTACCCAAAGGGTCAAAATTAATTGGTAATCACTGAATTTTCATGTTCACTAAATTTAAAACTTTGTTATAATTTAGTTACTCCATCCATATTCTTTAGTTTGATTAATGGAAAAAAAGTAGCATGGCAGCCTAGTTGTTCGTCAACTAAGCTGACACGTTAGCTTTTCAAACTAACTGATATGGACAAAATTATGAAACTGTAAATTTGTCACAAATTTGAAAGTTTAACGACTCAATTGAAACAAAAGAAATACTACAATCAGTTGACTAACCTGCATCATTTTGTTTAGTTTGAGAATCCAATATTAGAAGGCTAAGAGCACCATCTACTTCGGTTAAATCATTTGCCCTGATGACATATACCTATAGAATAAATATTACACATTATATTGTGATAGCAAATAAATTGAAGAAAAAACCAGTAAAGAACACATAATGCTGTTCTAGGAATCACCTTAAATCTGCATGGTCCGACTAGTTGAAAGATCAGAACATCTCCTTCAAGCAATTTATTTCCAGAAACAAACTTCCTCCATCCTGCACTTAGTCCTGTCTTGTTTGCAATGTACTTAACTCCAAATTCTTCACCATTTTCATCTTCAATAGTAACTGTGGTGTCCTTGTTTGGTAAAAATAACTTGCAGAATGGAACGGGAAGGCCCTGCATAGAAATGGTAATCATATCGAAAAGATTAGATGCAATCTGACCCCCCATGTTGACAACGAGCATCTTTGGCTGAGCTTAAAAAAAGTAAAGTTACTTTTAAGCAACTTCTTTTCTCCACTATGTTTGGTTAGCTTATTATTGAGTACAAAAGGTACTCTTTTTTAAGTAAAACTCATGTTAATGTTAAAATAAGTAACTTATTCCCACTTTGAGCAGTAAAAAAATTTGTTACTTTTAAAACGTACTTATTTACTTGTCGGTAGACCTTTTTTTAATCATAATGAGATCCTCCTGAAAAGATCATTACCATCCAAAAACAACTTGCGACGTGTGATCTAACTAGTGTCTTCAAAAAGCCAGGGTGTTCATTGCCTAGACTCGATTGGACCTCCTCTGCTCGAATCATAGTCGGCGATTTCACTTGGACTGGAGTCACCGCACTGCTTGACCCATCATTTGTGGCATCTCCATTGCTGTTTCATGTGATATAGCAGGTCATTTTTCACAAGTAAACATGCAAAACTTCTACAGAAAAAAGTTAATTTTTGGCAGTGAACTAACCACATCAATGTTCCTGCACTATCTCGTTTTGCCTGCTTATGAAATTGTCACATTCAATCGTTAGAAATAAATTTCATTGAGCAGTTTAAAGTCGAGCTCAAAAATCTCTACAATGTTGATGTGAATTAAACCATAATCAAGATCAAGCATTGCATCAACAAAATAAACAAAGAATTAACACTCCAAAACATCAAATCACGGCAAGAAAGCAGATTATTATTAAAAAACAGTTGACGAAAAGAGAAGGGGTGGGGAGGAGGCACAATAGATTGTATGTCATGATGGGATACAAATGAACAGGACCTAGTAAGTTCTCAGGAAGACATCATGACTCAGCTTAAGGATACAAGCAAACGCAAAACAATGATTGCTTTCGCAATCAATTTTGCTTTGTGTCAGGGGAGATACAACGGAAAGAAATCAGAAAACCTTCACTTCAATGTTCATATGGATGAACTGAACTCCATATCATTCACAATTCAGAGGGCCAATCTCAGCCAACCAGAAACTTCAAAAAATATCTCTTTTGATTGACTTACTATTTGGATTTTTTTTTTTTTTTTCAGTTTTTATATTCTACTCTTCTGTAATGTCAATTTTTATTTCCAAGTTTCAAAAATCTAAAAAATCCTACATTTATGATGCCTCTGTGAAACTTTCTAAATCAACAAATGTCAACTTAACAAATAGTTATGTAGAAATCTACCCCCACCCGATGGTGCTTGGACTCTTCAATTTGGATGAGTAACTGTGTCGATACGACACAATTGTATGGGTATAGATCCCACGTTGGATCATTCAATTTAGAAGTGGACACAACAGAAATAAGGAATGGAGATCGCCACGGGAGAAAGCACAAGTTGCAGGGAGATAAAGAGTGAGATCATGATTTTTATAGCAATAAAATCGATTTTTGAGGCATAAAAATAAGATATTGAAGGCACGAAACCAAGCCCATTTAATGTTAAAGTCCCTAAAAATACATCTAAATATATTATATATAATATTCTAAAAAATTATATGTTTTTAAGATGTACCTACGTCAAAATTTTGGATATTTTATAGCCTTATTTCCCTATCCTGAGTTTTAGAAGAAAAAGAATCTGAATCCTAGATATGTACCAATACCCGAGTCTAAGCAACATAGCCCCCACCCTAAACTAATATCAGCTAATTTACAGTCCCAAACCCATTCCAGAAACCAAAACAACAATCTGCATTCCAAGTACAAAAAGAAAATGCAGTGAGCTTGAGGCAATCAATGATCCTACTATGTCATTCTATGTTGAGCGTAAATTATAAAAACTGCATCAGTTCATTCAAAATAATTACTACTAAAGCTGCCTCCAAAGCAAAAAATATATTAATGAGATGCAAACTAAAAGATATTTGGTTGTCATTTTTCTTTCCCTCAATAAGGTCATGAGCTTCCATTCCATGGAGACCTGAATGTTGTATAAACAAGTTTAGATTATGTATACGAGAGTGCTTAGCAAAAGGGTCACACTAAACATAAATAGTAAGTGTACTAAACATAAATAGTAAGTGTATAAGGATGAATAAACTAATCTATATGCATACAAACCCTTACTTTCTTAAAGCTGATTAAACAAATATCGAAACCCAGATGCAAGCGTTGTCCCAATATAACAAGATTACTTACGTTTTATGCCTCCCACCCCCACCACCCAAAAAAATATAAAAAATAAATAATAATCTAAAGGTAAAAGGGTTAAACAAGTAAACTAAAATGAAAAAAATATATATATATATAGAGAAAAAGAAAAGCTTACATCTTTAGATTTGGAAGTAGATGGTTTCTTCCTCCGCCTGAGAATAGGCGAAATCTCATCTATTATCTCCTTTGGTTTCCTCTTCCTTTTACCCTTCAACAATTAAACCAGATCTAGTATCAATTGGACAAATCCATACCTAATTAAACAGCAAAAATCCTTTTCACTAAAATTTATAAGCACGCAACTCTGCCAATGTTTTTCATATTTTTCAAAAGGAGGGTGGCCGTAGGTTGACAGCCATAGAAAATTGTCAAATCTTATGACAAAAATCCATGACAATTTATAAACTTGAACACAAACAAACTTACATAAACAAGAACAGGGTCAAATGTAGAAATGGGGGAAGGGTTCAGAGGGGAAGAAGTCTCCTTCATGGACTCCTCCCCTGGCGTAATACCCACATGGGTATGCTCCACCTCTTCCTCCTTTTTCATCTCTCGATCATCACCTACGCGATTTTCTTGATTTTGATGCACTATTTTCAGTCTCATCTCTTCTAGAAAAAACCCAGACAAATAAACGAGTAAAAGGGGGCAAAGAACTGGTTCAGGGAGAAAATGGAAGAAAAGAAAGTCCAAGGGTATTGGAATATCTGAAGACTGTTCATAGGAAAATTAGAGACCCCTACGGGCGCGGCTGGGTGAAAGTGCAAACAACAGAACATGTGGGCGTTTTAGTTTTGGGTTAACGTTTGCAGATGGGAAAGTGTGGTGACATGTTCGAATCATTCGTGGACTGTTCTACCAAAAATCAGTAGTGCCTTAAGAAACATGTCTCTTTCTGGCTGTTTGAGATTTTTAGATGAAATAGTTTAATATAGTAATAAAACTTTATATTCAGTAGTCAAAACTGACATGCTATAAGCTATATTAGCCCGAGGTCAAAGTCCAATTAACGGTAATTGAAAAGCAATAAGGATTTCACCAAGCAAAGCAATAAGGATATATAAGGAAATACTCATCTTGACTTTTTATGCCTCTAGCACATCCCTATAAATAGGAGCCCAATTGCATCTGAAAATCATATAAGCCCTAGTACGCCCCCATTTCTCCTTCATTTTTAGACTGCCGGATCGTTAGTTCAATTTTATTCCCTTGCCAACGCATAAATGACAACTGCCTAGACGAGGTGAATCTTTTAATTTCTCCTTTCCCTTTTTTACCCTTCCAACACTCCAATCACCTAAATCAATTCTAAATTCACTTTACTCTTCTTCCTTTCTCATTCGACTAGACACTCCCTTCCATCCCTTGATTCATAAATGTCTCTTTCATCGCCAATATATGGTATCCTTTCCTTGGCGTCCAAAAGGAGAACAATAGTTGAGTTTGTTGTGTGAATCTTCTAGTATGTGGGCTTCTACTATACTCAGAGTCCTATCGACAATTAGCCTCGACTCCACCACAATTTGGCTGCCAACAATCGAAAAGGTGCAACATCTACTCAATCACCTGTGTTGAAAGTTCTTCCTTGGCCATTATCTATGCCTTGTTACTACCCATGGATCCATATTTCTCCCATGTTAGATTCCCAAATTCTGATATTTGGATTTCACTTTTCAACCATGCACAATGTTGAGACATCTTCCTCCCCCTATTCTTGTTTAAATCTGGGTGTTGATTTTAATCCCAACACATAACTTGTGTACATAGGTTGGTTACCACCCACAAGTTGGCTCGTCTACATCGTTAAATGAACAACAATGATAGTTGTCATAATAATGCCAAATTCAACCTAACAATCGGACACATTCGGTTGAAGATATAGTAAACAACAGCTGAGAAACAAATGAGACTCGATAAGGTGGGAAAACCAATGCATGAGGGAGTTGCTTAATTGCACTAGGGTCAAATTCAACCTAACAATCGGACACATTCAGGCTAATGAGGACTGGTGATGCCGAAAAATCAAGGTAGTTGTCTCCGTATTTTTTTTTCTTGATCGGTAAATGTAAATATCATTGATAAAAAAATGCTCATATATAAGTACACTAGGCATTCCTAGGTAAACAAAAGCCAATGTCACATACAATTACTCCGGACATCCCCGGGAAGTACAAAATAAGTGATGTGCAAAAGAAGTTAATGACCCAACACTAAGGATTCGAAATGGATCAGGACTTCCGGATACAAAGAAAACATAACTTTGTATACATGTATCTTGATCCGTCTCATGATGGAATCCAAGTGAGGTGAAAGGTCTTCAAAAATCTTTCTATTCCAAGAAAGCCAAATGTAGTAAACGGTGCTCACAAGAGCAATTCTCTTCGCGTTACTTTGCCATGATGTCCCACATGCCTCTTTTTTCATCCAATTTAGAGTGCTTACAAGTGAAGGCATAGATCTTTTGCTTTCGAGCCACTGTCTAATATTCCCCCATAATGTAAAAGTGAAGAAACATGCAAAGAATAAGTGATGAACTGTTTCCTCCATATGCTCGCATAAAACACACTTGCAATCAATATCCAAGAAATGCAATTTGTCTTTAGTTAGGAGTTTTGATTGGACTCCTAACCAAAGCAAAAAAGAGTGCTTCGGAGTGATACAAGTTCTCCAAACATCGGCAGCCCATACCTTCTTTTTACTTCTCGGCCTGAAGAAGTCATAGGCCAGCTTGGTACTAAATTTCCTCCCTGCCGACCAGCAAAGTAATCTGTCAAACAGTGCACTTTTTCAGTCATTTTGCTCATCACTTGACCAAATTTGAGATTGGTCAGTGACGTGTATCCGTAGCAGCTTTAGACGAGCGAATTTCAGCATGTATAATCACAGAATTATCACCGTTCAGCTGGACAGATTGCATGTTCTGTCCATGTGTGAAATTTTGGTAAACATTCACACTTTGCCTCAATAAATTTCGGATTTCCAACAACTTTTAAACAATGGGGAGTGATATTTTCTCAAAGCAACCTCCCAAATACATGTCCCTTTAAGATAGACTTGATGAACCCACCGAATCCAAAGGGAGTTCTTTTTATGTTTTATGTTCCAAAGGGATTTAGTAAGTAGCGCTAAATTCCAACTCTTCAATTACTTCAATCCGATGCCCCCTTCATCTCTTGGAAGACAAAGATCCTTCCATGCAACCAAAGGGTTCTTAGATCCCCAAAGGAATTTCCGACAAAGGCTAACAATCCTTGAAAAATAGGTCTCAATCTAGAAGTAAGAATTTTAGCAACCACTTTGTAAGTAACACTACAACAAGAGATGGGCCTATAATTACCAACATGCGGTGTGTGATCTGATTTAGGCACTAAAGCAATGGCCGTGTAATTGATTTGTTTGAGGATGAAACCCGAAGAGAAGAAATCCATGGTAGCCCTAACAAAATGATCACTAATAGTCCCCCAAGTATTCTTAAAAAAACAAGAATTGTAACCGTCCGGCCCGAGAGATTTTTCATCTCCAATATCAAAAAGTGTATCTTTAATCTCCTCATAAGAAATGTCCTGAATCAAAGTATGACCTTGTTCCAAAGAGACCAAAGGACCATATGTAACAATATCCATCTCAAAGGCCGAGCGGGGCATTTTTTCCCAGCAAAAAAGTATAGAAATTTACAAATTCTGTAGCAACTTGATCTTGTGATGTAGTATACATCTCGTCTTCTTTGAGTATAGTAGCAATGAAATTCCTACTAGAATTCCTTTCAACCACCGAGTGAAAGAACTTTGTGCATTTATCACTTTTCTTAAGGAAGACACACTTAGCCTTTTAATAATAAAAACTTTGTTCCGCTTCGCATAAACCGATGGCCTTTTTCCTCAGCAACCATAAGTTGAAGATGCACATTTATGGGCTGATTATGTAACTGTAATTGGGCAACCTCCAAATCATTTTTAGCCTCACTTGCCCTAGCCGAAATATGTCTAAAATGCTTAAGATTAAGCTCCTTCAAAGTACCCTTAAGTTTTCTCAATTTCTTGCAAATGATATATTGTTTTGTCCCTCACAAGTAAAAATTCCAGCAAGCTCGAATAAGATCATGAAATTTCTCATGCTTGATCCACATGTTGAAAAACTTGAAAGGTCTCTTTGCACTTCCAACACGGTCATGTATAGAAACAATGCTAGGGGAGTGGTCAGAAAGGCATCCAGAGGGAAGAAAATTTGCATCAACATATGCCCCCATTTTGCACCCATATATCATTGACCATTGCCCTATCAATTTTACTCAAAACCGAACCATTAGTCCACGAGTAATAACAACTAATGGAACGCACATCCGTAACACCCACATGAAGGCAACAATTTGCAAGATCCTTTATTTCATAAAGGGTAACGTCCACTCCATTACATTTCTCATCAAGTTTAAGCACATTGTTGTAGTCACCAAGAATCAACCAAAGCAACGAAACATTTGCATTGAACTCCATAATGATATTCCAAAGTGATCGTCGGTTAACCATAGTATGAAATCCATAAACGAAGCTCACAAGAAAAAAAAAAGATGTTACCTTACAAGTAGATTTACAATGGATAATTTGTGGATGAACCTACATCACATCGAAAGCACTTTGGATGGATTCCACAAAATTAAGATCCGTGCGGTTCTATGTGTGTCAAAATTATTACATGCATAAAGCCATCAAACTTATTCCTCAAAATCCTATTCAATTTTTTATCGCCCAACTTCGTTTCCAAAATACCCATAATATCAATGCAATGTTGCTTGATAAAATTTCGAATCCCATTTTGTTTAAGGGGTGGATTCATACCCCTAATATTCCAAGAAGCAATCTTTATGATGTTGAAGCAAGGGATGTACCCTTCTTCTCTTCCATTTTTGATCTCGCTTTATTTTTCTCCTCTACTTTGCCTTTAAGCTTATCACTTCTAGATTTACTAGAAACTACCTCGTTGATATTGGATAAAGAATCTACCACAGATTTTGAGACCCCATCATGAGCAGATTTTTTCAACGCAACAACCCCATTTTTGTTGGTAACAACCTTCACAAACGGGGCCTCAACCTGGTCCAGAATTTTGACCTGCTGGGAATCCACATTTTCAAGACCCAACTGCCCAGAATCTCGATTTATAAACTGCCTTTTATGCCCATCCAAAATTGTGGTTTATTGTTCCCAATTTCTTGCTCGCTACAAGTTGCCTCGACAGGAGAAATATGGGAATTTAATGTAGATTTTCCAGCCTGCCCATATTTTCCTTGGGCGGCCCCCGTAGGTTTTCCTTTTCCTTTCTCTCCTCGGTATGTTTATTGTTACATCCAATAGTCGAGTGATCGAATACTTTACAAGAACCACAAAATTTTGGTTCATGCTCAAGAACGATTTCTTGTTCCCTCAATATGCAATTTGGAAGCCTAATTTTCACCTCCCGCACAAATTCAATGGAGACATCAACTTCAACTAGAGCTCTCACAAATGAGAGTCGACCTCTAGTAGCCGTGACTTTGTCGGTTGAGATAGGTTTACCAACCTTGGAGACAATTTTACAAAAGCGTTCGTGTTTCAAAATTCCAAATGTAACCCTAGTAGGTTTATCCATACCGGCATA